GAAGCAAACTCAACTGATTTTGCATCCTCAATATGTCCTGAGTAAGGGGAAAAAAAGCCCCGAAGAATCCCATTAGGGGAAAGTTGAGAAAAAGACCCAAATATATCCTATTCATACGCCTATTCATTCTTTGTCTTATTTATGCAAATTTGATTATGCACCATTTGCCAGAGGCGGACAGAGTACAGAGCTTTGTTACTTGAGTAAAAGTACAGATACCCCTTGCTAAATTTGACTCAAGTACAAGTAAAAGTACTACATTCAGATGTCTACTTAAGTAAAAGTACTGAAGTACTTGTTTTTAAAAGTACTTGAGTATCAAGAGTACAAGAGTAAATTTTCTAAATATTGCATTACTAATCTACTGCCACACTGTTTACATTTATGCACAGAAACGTCCTACATGGAGTTATGAAAAATGTTAATGTTAATACCTTGGAGAATGTAAAAGGAATTGAAAGTAAAATCAAGTCATTTTCATCTTTTTACCATGTTGCTTTATTTAATTTAATTAAAATTTTGGGGGGTCCCATCTTTAAATGCGGGGACAACACACACACACACACACACACACACACACACACACACACACCACATGTAAGGGTGGCGCTGCCAATAAAGCACCTAAAAGCTGTCACAAAGAAACGGCAAAAGGAATGATTATGAATATGTAAAATATAGCAAGGAGATTTTTTAATTGTTTATTAATAAACACTTGTTAATAAACAAGTGTTTTCTTTGTCAGTGTCGGCTAGATGAAGTTGACGATGCTGACTCGCGATCTTCAGTAGTGAACGCGCCAGAGAGAAATGCACATTTCATACGGATTACATAAGCAGAGAACAGTCTGTAGTCTGTTTTCTTTCGTTTTGAATTTTTCTGTTTAAAAGTAGACATGTCTGTGAGAGGCAAGTAGGCTACCTTATACACTCAGTTTCGGTTCATTTATGAGACGAGATCCAGTTCACGTGCCGGCGCCTCCATTTCTTATTTATCGTCTGCTATTTACTTCTTATTTATTAAACCCAGGCAATTGGTTGATGAAACGTTGATTAAAATTAAGATACAATTAATGCAAAACGAAATTCAGGTTAAAGAAAGGTTTTGTGTTTTCTGTTTAATGTCTCTGTGAAAGTTTTAAAGCATTTTTTATGCTGCTTTCAGAACGCTCACGTCCGTAACGGAGAACACGTCCATAACATAGTTTTTTCCTCATAAATGCAAACCCGAAAAATAAAATAAAACAAAATTAATATTTTATGTACTGTGGAGACTGAGCGCCAACCCTTCTTCATTCGCTGGGTAGTAGCCTACTTTGGTTTGCGCAGTGTAATTCACACAATCAGTAAAATATTTTGCCTCCTAAAGTTTTTTTTTTTAAGAAATCAGAAATCCCTCGTGGCTACGCCACTGCCACATTTGAACCTGACTGTGTTAAACACACCACATACTCAAGAACATCAAACCAAATGCTTGGCTTACATTAATGTGTAATATAAAATCTAACCATGGAGTTGATTTTGGTGGAAAGCTGAAAGTGATTGCTGATAGGCTGTCCCAATCAGTGGCGCCTGCACAATCCAATCACGTTTGAGAGGGAAACAACAAATTGAGGGTGTCCGAGATTTTTCTTTTTTTTTTACTTTTTTTTTTTTACTCGGGTACTCACGGTTATGGATAGAAATGTATTGGAGTAAAGAGTACAATATTTGCCTCTCAAATGTACTTGAGTAAAGTCATGAGTAGTACTCCCCAAAAATGATACTCGAGTAAAGTACAGATCCCTCAAAATTGTACTTAAGTACTGTACTCAAGTAAATGTACTCCGTTACTGTCCGGCTCTGCCATTTGCCCATGTTAACAAACAATTTAAAAAAACTTGTAATACATTTTTTGTTTGTCTTGATGTAAGTAATCAACTCAGTAACTTTCATGATGATATCTAAAGGTTACATTTTTTACCCTATTCACGTGAGAAAAAGAAAGAATAGGCGTATGAATAGCCTATATTTGGGTCTTTTTCAAAACTTTGCCCTAATGGGATTCTTCTCTGCTTTTTTTCCTTACTCAGGACATATTGAGGATACAAAATCAGTTGAGTTTGCTTCTGTTGCAATTTGTTCTTGGTTGAACCCCATTTTGGCTTAAAATGACTGGACTATTAGTTAGTAGCGTGTTGAAACTGGCGGTTATGGAAAGGGACGGGACATTTCCCGAACACACTCGAAGCGCTCGACCAATCACAACACACTGATCCAGCCGACCAATCAGAACACAGTGTGCTTTTCAGAAGGAGGGGCTTCATAGAAACAGAGCGTTACTGACAGACTGGGAAGAGAGGAGCCGCAACAATGGAGAATATGAGGAAAATAATGTGCTTTTTTTAACATTCAAGCATGAAAACCTGTTCTAGTAGTGCCCCAAAACAAAATCAAGACTTTAAAAAAGGGCACAACAGGTCAACCTTTATAAACAAAACAAATCTAATCATCAGTTGTAGTTTCACCGTTGGACTCTTTGGAGAGCACAGAGCCGTCGGGGGTGAAGTGACCTTACAGCACAGGATTCAATGCTCTGTTTCGTCTGGTGTGAAATGGAGCCTGTGTGTGATTCACTCCCGATTTCACAAATCTAAATGTTTCAGCTGTAAACAATCTGCTATTGAGAGATAAAAGGGTTGCTACGGTAACAGGGAAAAACATCCAACACTGAATTTTCATGCCTGGCAGCCGTGACAGAAAACTGTGTCACTCATGTTAATGCTTAAGTGTCCGTTTCAAAGATTCAGAACATTCAATATGTAACAACAATGATATAATAAAAAATACACAAATAAAAAATAGCCACAAGCAGCAATAAGTACTGACATAAGATATGAGATAAGGTGTGTGTGTTATTTTTAAACTGTCTATTATGTTCAATGTTTGTAGAGCTGAAACTATGAAACTAACACTTTAATAAATATATAATCAGTTCAAAAGGCTACAGAGCTTTAGTGTTTTTGAACATTAATAACATATAAAACTGCTTTCTGGTGTACAAAAACAAGCAGGTTATTGGTGCACTATGATTGCATGTTTTTTTTTAGCCAGCAAAAAGTGTAATCATATATTTGTACAGTACAAGTAATAATATAGTAACAATGCAATGCAAAAATACTGTATAAAACCCCAATAATACTAATAATGATTAATAATAATAAATTAAACAGTAATTAAAAAGTATTTTTTATAAATGACTTTATAACTGAAGGCTAAACCTAACTAAATTAATTAATGCATTAATATCTGACAATGATAACTGATGCCTGTGTTCATATTGTCACAAACTCCTAATTAAGCATTCATGGGATTTGATTGCCTACTTGTGTATCTGAATAATGTAAAATGCATTGATATGTTTGATTAACAGAAGGTCTGCTGTCACTTTAAGGCCTGACACACGATATTGACATATATTACGATATTGAATACCTACATTTTTATTATTGTTGTTTGGGTGTTTGTTTGTTTCTGCAAGATAATGTATGAAACTCTACGGTAACAGTGCATTATAAATATAAATATACATTTTATTATACATTTTCTTACAAATTTCATAATTTGTTTTTTTCAAATGTCTTATAAATTAAGACATTTTGTTAGAAAATCTATTACAAATTTCTTATAACTAACATCTGTTAACACCTTGTGAAATGAATGTGTACCGAATTTAGTGAAAATCAGCCACAAGGTGGCACTATAACAAGCAAATTTATGTTTTATTTAATAACTCCGCAACGGTTTGTGACGGAATCAAAGTTCAGATTTCTTCTTAATCCTTGCTTTAAGCCTGAACAATGGTACATCTAATTTGTATGATTATTTAAAAACTTTATCTTCCATTCTAATTCGTTAAAAAATATATAGGCTACTTTATCAAACTCCTCCTGAACCTTCACCATAACTTTGCACACGTGTGTGTATCTGGTATGACCCATTATGACTTTTATAGGCCTATCTATAACTTGTGTGCAAAATGTCCAAACTTCTCAAAACTTTGTACATATGGTATATGGAGAACGCGTCATTCATGAATGTATGATGCTCCGGAGGCTAACAGCGAATTCTAAGCTATACGCTGATTTCACGCAGCTGCCATTTTGAAATCGAAAGCGAGGCTCTGGTGGGAAGAGCTCAAATTATATCTTTACATTCATTTGAAATTGTCCTGTGACATCTTGATATGATATGCCATTCAAGTACATTTAAATGTTGAATGTGACACATATTATGATCAAACCCTAACTTTCAGGAAGATTCACGATAGACTTTGCTATAAAAACCACATCATAAGATAAAATTAAATTGAATCGATAATCATCAACACGGGCAACTGCTTAGATCCCGATGAGTGCGGCTCATGAGGAAGAGAAATTATAATATTATTATTATTGAGAAACTTAATAGGGCTACACAACTTCTTTATGATCATAGACTGTCAACAATCTGTCTTATGATTTATATGAATAGTCATTTGTGTGGAGGGTGGCAGTGGTTATTCTCTAATCAAATGAACTTGGCACATTTTTTAATGATCAATGATGCACACTAGATCACTGCCGGTCCGGACAACCCCCAAAATGCACCAATGTGCCCACAAAATGAACCAATGTGCCCACAAAATGACACCAATTCTTCTTTGTAACACAAACTAGACAGGCCTACTTTGAAGAACCGTTTTGGTGCCCATTCACTTCCATTGCATGGACAAAAACCACAGAGGTGTGTTCAAAACCTCATCAAGTTTCTCATTATTTTAAGTCATTATTATGAGAAATTCTCTCAATAATTAGATACTAAGTCTTAATTTGGAAAATTTCCTTTATTATGACTTACATAATCATACTTTTTCACTCAACTATGACGGAAACGGGCTTAAATATATGACTGAACTCTACTGTGTTTCTGTAAACTGCGCCATTGCCTCGCGCATTGAGATTTAAATAAAGTTTGCTCTATTTGAACAACATGGCGGCGCCCATGTAGCGGTGTGAATCTGTCAAATGTCAGTGTATCGTGTGTTGTTTATGCGTCACCAGAATGAAGCTTTGAATGGATTTATAATATAGACCACGCGGAAAGGATCGCAATATATCGGGACAGGTCCCGTTGTTCGTCGACGGTTGTCGTGTAAGTAGAACGTGATCCTTCAGTTATAAACATTTGACAGCTAATGTCTCCCTCGTGTGCTACTAGAAATTCTGGGATTATCACCGAAAAACTTGATACTTTTGTTAAGGATAATGTAAGGCTATAACACATTCAAATGCATTAGACCTGAGCTGGCGTGCCTCTTTTAACACTCATTATCTCACTGAAAATCGTGTTGTCTTTGGAGTCCAATATGACAATGATTCTTCCATATTGGAAGATGAGTAACCATAGCAACGCGACCATCTCCTTCACTTCTCTTCCACAAACACGAGGCCCTGAGTGTTTGTGTGTGTGTGAGAGTGTGTGTGTAAACCTGTGGGCGGCTGTCAGAGAGAAACTCTCGTCCTCAACATCTCGCCATGATTTCAAGAGCCTCATGTGCGTCACACAGATTCGCAGCTGTTTGATAACTGGGTGATTGAATGAAATATGAAAACTTATCTAAATGTCATATTTATATGTATACATACGTTTATAAATGTGGTTAATCATCATTATTTTGAATACATATATATATATATATATATATATACACGTTACACACACACACAATTTAAATTGTTGAGGAAAAATTGTTTATGCTGTTTCATGGGGTCTGGACCATAGATATTATATAATAAAGGCTAGATGTCTCGTCCGCGCTGCTGGCCAATGGAGGTGGACGTCCGCACGTGGCGGCCATCTTGTCACAGGCAGCTCGCTCACTCGTAACATTGTTTTTTAATGGTGCATGTACTTTTAAATAACCATAACTTGCTCAATTTTCTACCGATTTTCAAACGGTTTGGTTTGTTATAAACGTCAGAGATGTAGTTATGACACTGCATACATATGAATAATTATAACATATATGTTCAAGCATTCAGAATTATAGCCATGTTAATAACGTTTGTAAGAAACCAAACCGTTTGAAAATCCGTCAAGATTTCAGCGAGATAAGAGGATTTGTGTTCGTGCTGATCACTCACCTTACATCAGAGCCTGCCTGTGACAAGATGGCCGAACGGTGATGCCGGAAGTGACTCCGCCGTAAGACATCTAGCCTTTATTATATGATATCTATGGTCTGGACAAGCGGCAACCTTCCGGTCTCTCTCTTGAATCCCACACGGAAGTGACTTAAACTGCACTTCATCCACTGGCCGCTAGAGGCAGGCTCCAAAAGAGAGTCAATCCCATAAACCATGTGTTAAAATCATTGGTAGTAAAAGAAATGGACACAGCGACTCCATAGACTTCAACGGAGAAAAGTGAAGCCCATTAGAAGCACTTTCCTCCTGATGGCTGAGCGACTGCGCCGGCTCAAACTGAGCTTGACGACGGAGATGTGACATGAGCAACCTGTCTGACAGCTGTAAGTCTTCTAGTATCTGTGCCAAGAGGAATCTGAATCATTCCCTTGAATCTCACAGAGACGGAGAGCGTGAGTAGGAGCTGTCCATGAGCGAGCAGGAGCAACTTTATGACTCTCTATGGGCTTCTCCCTGGACTTTATGCCTCCACGTCCCCCCGAGTGCCCGCGAGCTTCTCCTCCTGTCTATACGGTAGTTTCTCTACTGTGCGACAGAGAGTCGCGTGTTATGACGCAATCGTTAGCCTAGTTTTACAAAAACGGCTTCTACGGGGCCATAACGTAAGATACAAAGTAATGGAGCCTTTTATACATTGTCATGTTTCTTCTGAACTTCAAAAAAAGAAACAAAAAAGATGCTGCAGCCGGCGGGGGCTGCAGGACGACTCAAGACAATATAGGCCTACTCAATCATTTTCGGGACAATTAGGGCCGGATTCGGGATTCGGGACAACAGCTTAGATTTCGGCTGGACGTCTGGTCACCCTATCATCAAGTCAGCTGTCACTTTAGCGAGTAGGTGAAGGCCACAAATGATTAAATGAATCAGTCAAACGATTCGTTCAAAATGTCTGATTCATTCAGGGACAAAGCAGAAGTGACTGAGTGAGTCGTCAAGTCTTTCATTAGAACGACTCGTTCAAAAACTAAACTGAAACTGTGTGCAATGGCATGATTTCTACTGTTTGGAACTATTTTCATTGTCAAAATGGAGGAAAAAAAGACAATATTGTGTCTACAATGCAAGTCACCTAACAGCCTATTAACTTATCGTTTATCAAATTGTCTAAAATCATTATCACATTTGCAAACGTGCTGATATTTGGGAAAACATTAAAGATTTAGAATTACGAATTATAGATTTAATTATAGATTTATTATAGAATTATAGATTTCAATTACAATACGTATCTTTAAAAGCCGTTTTCTAAGCCTAAGTCAGAAATCTTCACTTCAGTAACACTTACACACACACATACACACACACACACACACACACCAAACTTTACACTTATTCTGAAGGTTTTTCCAGAGGGGTTTGTTCATGCATCATTCGTGCGCATTTTATTCTTAAAAACATGTTGATTTTTCTTTTCTGGCTATTAACAATATTTAGTGATCCAAAATCCCCTCTGCAAAAACATTAACTCTAATATGTCAACAAAATGAAACGAGAACTTTGAACTTGACTTCATATCCAATGTTGAGATTTCTGTTCTGGATTTTTTTTTAAACATATTTAAACATGTAATACAAAATTCTATTAGTTACAATTTTTGCCCTATTCACCTGTGGTGTCTTTTCTTAATGCATAATATCAGTTAAAATCTAAAAGAGAATAAAGATGAACAAACATAATGTTTAAAACATAAAGATGATATAAAAAACAAGGCTTTATCATTTCAATTTTGACTCAGATTTATATAAAGGACCCAAATGACACTCATTTTGACCTAGAATGAATTATAATAAAAATACTTTTTCATGAGAAAATACCAATTAAAGTAACTCTTTCTTCTTTCTGTACTGAAACATGTCACAGTGCCTCCCTACACGCATTGTGTTTGTGTAGATTGTGCTGGTGAATTCTTTTTATGTTTAATGTGACCAGTATAGAAGTTTTTGTAGGTGTTAAAACATTTGTTTCCAAGGGGACAGGTTTATTGCCACCTTACAGTATGGCATGTTGCTATAGTTACGCCACAATATATCCCAGTCTATTCGTTTCTCTAACAGACCAGACATCTGAGCACAAAACGCCATGACAATCTGTTTTAATGAAGGAACATTTTATACCGAGATGGTGAATGTGTTTGCATTAATCATCAGGCCACAGTGTTAACTTACGCTTTAGTGTCCGAGTTCCCAGTGTGACCACTCTCCTCCTGCGCTCCTGAAGGTCCCGGGGTCCCGCTGATGTCTGTGTGGAGGGTCACCGTGTTCCCGTGGAGGCCGGGGTCGCGTGTCCAGCTGATCCGGGGTCTGTTCAGTGAGTCTGGGGTGTGGGAGCGGGACTACAGGGCCGAGACCCGGCGTCGAGTGGAGCAGAGCTGGAGCGCCCGCATCCAGGAGCAGTGGAAGAGGGATCAGGCACACCAGGTACATCCCATCATGATGAACTGCAGATTATGTGCAGTAGATGATTGTAATATTGAAAGATATTAAAGGTGCAGTCTGTAAGAATGACAACTAGTGGTTGAAACAGGTACTGCAGTCCAATTCACAATATCGGAGATCGTCGTTTCTCCCGCCTCCTCAGACTCGACGCTCACACGGGTCGCCAGTTTGAGACACGCAACAGGAACGAGCGCAATGGACAATGAAAATTGGTAAATTGGCAACTAGAGTCTCACAGACCAAAACAATAACAAACATTCCAGCCTGGAAACACACATTTCAGAGTAAAATAACTGGCCGTAGAAGTGCTTTTCAGAGAAACGAGTATGTGAACTTAGCATGTTTCCTCTAAACATATTATGGTATTTGTATGCTTTAGTAGAGGGAAAAAGTTAAATACAGCACCTTTAAGATGGAATATGGAAAGATGGAAAGATAATAGAACAACAGCTGATTGTCATTATACCATGGTCTGGGTGAATACTCGATTCTGATTGGCTGCAGGGTGTCCATTAAAAAGTGATAGAGGACACCTAGTAAAGGAGTTCTGGTGAAACTGACTGTTTACTGTTCGAAATTAATAAATAAATGCGCTGGCTACATCGGCTGTGAGTAACCATAGCTACAGGCAGCCAAAGTATCCGTTTACAATTTATAAAAAAAAATAAAAAAACTATGCCTACCTGTGTGTTATAATTATAGGTTAAAAAAAAAAAAGGCTACACAGGCGCCTTGTCATAAAGTCAATTTTTTTATATTATACGTACTTATTGACCTTTTTCTTTAGCACTCAAGTTTAAGTAGCCTACATTTTCCACATGGAATACTTACAGTAATTTGACTTATTATTGTTATTATTATTATTATTATTATTTGACCCATATATCGAAACAAATTAGCTTAAATATTTTAAGAGGGTTACCAATGGTCAGGCCGTTAACTTTTGCATATACTGGTGCTATAGAGGTTGAAAGTTTGAAAGTTGAAAGGCCACACAATTGTATAGCACAATTGAATAAAACTAGGGATGCTCGGATAAGGATTTTTGCAGCCGATACCGATAGCCGATTTCTTGTCATGGTGATCGGCCGATACCGATGCTTAATATACTTAATATAAGACAATGATAAATACAAACAAAATGGAGCAGTCTGATGCAGCCCACAGGCTTAAATTAAACATTGTCCAATAGTAAACTTTGGAGGACAACATAAACATTTAATCACCTAAAATAGAGAAGTCATAACTTAAACTTTGTCCAATACAAGTCTGAGCAGGACAAAAATTAAATAAATAATTTAATTGGAGTAACAAATTGGAGTAGTTTGATGCTACTCATTAGAAGGGATGGGCATTTCGAGCAAAAATAATATTCGAAGAGACTGTAGCTGGCTATTATTCGAAAATCGCACCCCTCCCCCATATGCACGCACACATGCATAGGCCACAAAAGTGAGAAAAGCGGAGTGGTCTGAAGTTTAGGCTAAATATAACTTAAAAACTTAAATATACATTTCATATTTGTTTTATATAATATAATGTTCTTTTTTTTTATTTCATCTATGTTGATTATATGAAAAAGGAACCGGATGAAATGGGTAAGATAGGATCATAAGATGCCCAATATATCAGGAGACATTTGGAGTGAGTTAGACATGATTTTGACCACTTAATTAAGTTTTGCTTTGTAGAAAGCCATTTTTTAAAGTGAATTTCGTTTTGTAAAAATTGTATCTTAATTTCAATCAATGTTTCATCAACCAATTGGCTGGATTTAATAAATAAGAAGCGAAATATAGCAGACAATATAGGCAGTGATGGGAATAACGGCGTTATAAATAAACGGCGTTACTAACGGCGTTATCTTTTTCAGTAACGAGTAATCAAACGAATTACTGTTTCCCCCGTTACAACGCAGTTACCGTTACTGACAAAAAAAAATGTGGCGTTACTATAATTGAACTCACTGAAGCGGCTTTCATCCGAGTAGGCTCTCTCTCCGCCATAGGACCTGCAAAGTTTTTTTCTCTGGTGTGTGTGTGTGTGTGTGTGTGTGTGTTTATGAGGCGCCGGAGTGGACAAAAGCGAAGCGATTGGCGCGAGCGCGCTCAATGCGCGAGAGAGACCGAGTGTGTCCGAGAGCGCGCTCAACAGTTGCGCAAGAGAGACCGAGGGTGTCCGAGCATTATATAGTTTGTTTATAAATAAATGACACATATCTGCAACGTTAATTAATTTACATGGTTATACAAATAAAATCTAAAAAATTACCGTCAGGTAACGTTCTGTTTAGGTTATAAAATAAACCCGAAAATAACCTGCAGGGAACATTCACAGAAAACATCTTTGTTTGACCGGTTGTAAACACGTGCGGCAAACATGTCTAGAATTTGGCTTAAATAACCTCTGATGATGACGTTCGCTATAGGTTATAAAAATAAACCCCCAAAATATTATATTTTAGTATTATATTTTTTTTTGGTAAATTGTTCAGTATTATATTGAGAGAGCACTTGTTAAACTGTTTACTTTTGTTAGGAAGAAAATACTCAGGCTACAGTATGTCTACTAGTTGTGAAGTTGTGTAACAGTTTTATCATTTTAATATGCACAAAGAGTATGTATATTTTTTATTATTATTTATTCATTTTTGGTACATTTCTTAAGAAGCATAATTTATTTTTAAACTTATTTGTTGGCCAGTTGGGGTCTGTGCGATATTAAGTAAACCATCTATAATGTTTTATTGTTCTACTATAGTAATGCTAATATTTAGAATAATATATTGAATTTAATAGGCGTCTCTCACATTGTCCCACAGCAACATTAAAATAGAATAAATTATTATTATAAAACATTGAACACTAATCTACACTATTAAGTGTCCATTTCATTAATTTAACATATTTAATACTGGGGGCATCCAAATTATTTGACATAGGCCTATTTGATTTTTTTTTTTTTTTTTTTAAGTAACGCAATAGTTACTTTCTCTGGTAATTAGTTACTTTTATAATGATGTAACTCAGTTACGAACTCAGTTACTATTTGTGAGAAGTAACTAGTAACTATAACTAATTACTTTTTTTAAGTAACATGCTCAACACTGAATATAGGATACGGAGGTGCCCGCGCGTGAACTGGAGAGAGTCTCATAAATGAACCGAAACTCAGCGTATAAATGACTTGCCTCACAGACCTGAGAACGTATAGAAAGCTTGAAATGCTTAAAAAAAAAACATTCAAATCGATAAGAAATGGGTTACTCTGCTTATTAGGGGTGTAACGATACACAAACCTGACGGTTCGGTTCGTCCCACGGTTTTGAGGTCTCGGTTCGGTTCGGTTCGGTTCGGTCAGAGACTATTTATATAGAGACATGCCACTTCCCCAATCCTTAATACAACTATATAGGGAAAACCCGTAACGCCAAAGATGGCGGTTGTATGCACATGCCCCGCCCCTCCCGCTCGAAAGCCAATCGTCTGCTTTTAACAGTCAAGCCGGAAAACATTTAAGCCTATCGTCTGGTTCCACCGACGCATGCGCACAGTTGAGGTTTGCGACAGCGGAAAATATGTTACTGTTTGAAAAGGCGGCAGATTTGATGTGTTAGTTGTGTAAATATCAGACATCCCAAGTCTCCCGGAAGTTCCGGGAGTCTCCCGCAGATTGATAGCGGCTCCCTGATGACCGCAAATTAGTTCAAATCTCCCGGAATCTAGAGCGAGCGAGCAGTAGCGCGCGCACGACTGAGAGCGAGAGAACCCTCTAGCTTTAGAAAGCTAAAATTGCTTTTATTTTTTATTAAACAGTGCTTTAATGAACAAATTGTGTCCTTGTCTTTTAAATTAATTCAATTACAAGTAAACGTTTCTCAAGGATAACAAAATTATCTGCTGCTGTAAACTAAAGCCCTTACTTGCAAATTACTATAACATTAAAGCTTAACAATAGAGCCTAGACTTTTAGCCTAAATGATATAATAATAATCAACACTCAAATAACAAATTGTATGAAAACATGTAAACTGCACATCAGGCATTTTTTGCATTTACATGTTTTTACTCTAATTTGTTATTGTTATATAATCATTTACACAGTTGCTGTTATTTTCATGACAACTATTTTAAACATACATTAAATAATCAAGATATCATAAACAGGTTAAGTAAAATATAATATATAGGCTAATATATAGCATTTATTTAGTGAAAGAGTTAGCAAACCAGCAAGCTGTGGACACTGAATGACTTGCCTGAGGTAAATATAAAGCTATGTGAAAAACTAAGCGTTTTTATTGACGTATTTCCGCTGTTGAAACACTGATTGAGTGTTTACACGAGTTATGATGCCTTTCAGTAAGTATACTGTATCTTTCAACATACCTTCGGGTGTCCATTCATGTTTATTCTGTAACTGAGGAAGAGATGATCGCGCTCCGCGCTGCCGCATGCATACAGTGATATCTGTCACGCCACATCTAAGAGCGCCAAAACGGCATTTTTTTGTTTGCATTTCGTGATCAAATAGACATAATTTGAAAGATTACACCTTGCTTATTATCAAAAGTAACAAAACACTGAGCTTATTGCGATTATATGTGGTTAATGGTGGTTAGGCAACAGCCCCGTATTCGTTGTGTACACATAACACATGAGGTGCAATGAGCCGGGGCTGGGCGGGGCAGCAGGGGGCGGGGCGTGTTCGGTTCGCCATGAGAGTATCGCGATACGTATTGTGGGTGGTGTATCGCGGTTTTTCGGTTCGGTTCAAATATCGTTACACCCCTACTGCTTATGTAGTCCATCCGTATGAAGTGTGCATTTCTCTCTATAGGCGCGTTCACTACATGCGAAGATGGCGTCAACATCGCCAACTGTATCTTTGCAGCCAGAAAACACTAGTTTATAAATAAACAATTCAAATGTACCATGCTGCTTAAACATTGCGCTGTGTGGACTGAGCGAGCGAAGCTACTC